AAAGACGTGGACCAGCAGAACAGAATGCACAGTAAATCCATGAACTTTGCAGCCAGCTGATGTTTACCAAAGGTGCTAGAAACAGACATTGGGAAAAGGACAATCTTTTCAGTAACTATTGCTGGGAAAATAAGCTACCTATGTGGAGGAGAATGTAACAAGACTGCTCACTCATCGTGTACAAAAGCCAATGCAAAAGTGGATTGAAGACTTAGGTAAGTCCCAAAACTGGAACTCAAAGACGATGACATGGGGAAATGCTTCAGGGCATTGGAATGGGCAACAGTTTCTTTTGGAGAATGTTTCAAAAAGCACAGAAAACAAAAGCAGAATAGACAAATGGCATTACATCAACACACAGAAGCAGAAGAAATAGCAAAATGACGGACAACCTACTGAAAAGACATCTGCAGGCTCTCCATGCGACGGGGCTGCTGCACACAGGGTATGAGGAGCTCCAGGAACTCAGAAGCAGAACGCCAGCGGCCCAGTTAAGAAAAGGGCAGTAGACCTGAGTAGACATTTCTCAAAAAGAGGATGTGCACACGTTCAACAGGTATGCAAAAACAAAGTCACCACAGATGCTCTGCACCGCTGATCCTCAGGGGATGCAAAGCGAGACCACAGTGAGACCAGGCCTTGTCCCTCATCCCACAAAGACTGGCTGATAGCAGAAGGGCAGACAACAAGTGCTAGAAGAACAGGAAAGGGAACCTCTGTGCACTGTTGGCAGGAGTGCAAATGACTAGCTGCTTTGGAAAGCAGGAATGCTGTGTGGTGATTCTTTCAGAGCTTTCAGTGTTAACAGCCCGTTGCGCCATGCAGGTCATGCGTTTGCCACCCCCCATAGAGGCACCTCAAAAATGAAAGAAAATACTATATAATTCTACTGTACTGGCTCCGCATCCAAGGAGATGAAATTCATTTGTTGAAGAGACATCTGCATTCTCACATTCACTGCAATGCTATTCACAGTGGCCAAGAAATAGAAATCACCTAGATGTCCAGCAGCTGATGAATGGGGCAGGAGAACGTGGCACACATACACAGTGGCATGCTCTTCAGCCACGAAAAGAATGAAATCTTGTTACAGTGAGTCAGGTACAGAGAGATGAGCTGCGTGGCCTCACTCCTCTGCAGAGCCCAGACTGCTCTAATAGAAGTTGAGAGCAGAATGAAGGTTGCCAAGGGCTGAGGTGAGGGCTTGAAGCAGTGGGCGAAGAAAGCAAGAGGCCGTGCTGTGCAGTTGTGTATGGGGGAGCATAGCTAGGACTGCACGTTTCAAAAAGCTGGGAGAAAGGATTTTGAACATTGTACAAGATATAACAGTTCATTGGAAAATACAGCCAACTTTTAGGTTAAACTTATTACAGCAAAATATGCTTCACCATTAAGCCTCAAAATCCTACCCCTTTTTTGGAACATGCTTATCCCATCATTCTTGCCGCTTTCTGAAGCAGTTCTGGAAATCCTATTTTTTTAACCTCTTCGCCAGGTGTCAGCAAGGATACAGGGTGTGTTGCTCTGCTCTCTAGTGGAGATGCAGTTCCTAAGGACACTGCGGATCTGGCTCCTCCCTCGTCAAATGACTTGCAAGGGGGATGCTGCGCGGCATTCAGGGTGCTGAGGTGGCCAGTTAGAGATAGAGATTTGCAGAGCTGCACCGAAAAGTGGTAGGAACACTGGTGTGCATTCCAGGTGAGGGGAGGACTTGGAAGGGAATGACCAGAGATATGTTTTCTACTATGATTTTTTTTTTTTTTTAGTACCGGGGATTGAACTCAGGACCTTGCACTTGCCAGGCAAGTGCTTATTCTACTGAGCCATCTCCCTGGCCCTGTGATAAATTTTCAAGTTTAACACCCACCATACTTTTGATAGCACCTCGTAAGCTTAAACATTGTCTAGTGTATCATAATAGCACATTTCCTATCAGTATGTACAATTGTTAAGTTTTATGTGTCAATTAAAAGTAATTTGAAATAAATAATAGAACTTGAAAGAAAAAATCTGGTCTGACGATTGTGACATTTTGCTTGGAGGATGTAGGCTGTACAGAGTGGGGCTTTTATCTGCAATCTTTACTTTCCACTGAACTTTTCTCCTCTGTCGAGTTTCTTGTGCTTTTCCTTCTGCTAACTTGCTAGCTGTGTACTGCTTCTCTCCCTGTTGCACTGTTACCATGGCAGTTAGAGCCGCACCCTCAACCGTCTTGGTTAATGGGAGCTCTCCCCATGGCCTGCTCAGGCCAGGGCTCCTCGTGTGCTCCTCTCCTGGCTCCATCATCTGTGCTGAGCTATCCCCTAGAGGGTGTGTGCATGCGCACACGCTTGCCTGCATGCATGCGTGCGTGCATGTGTGTGTGAGATTCTCTTATCTCTCCCATCTGTGTTTTTCAGCAGCCTTACTCGACGAGCCTCCTCGCTGTGGGTTTGTGTCCAGCCTGTATTGTGTTTGCGGGCTGGTGCATTCGCACAATGCCTCAAACAGCAGCCTTACACAGCTTGTGTCGTTTTCTTAAAATACTGTCTCTGCTGTCTGGGTCCATTCAGGCTGCCAACATCGTAGGCTGGGAGAGTTTTAAAGAGACCAATAGGCCCAGGCAGGCTCAGTGTCAGGGACATGGTGGCTCTGTCCTGCTGTGTCCTTCTGTGACAGAGGTGGAAGGACCCTCATCCCCACCCTGAGGGCCTGTCTCTAGACCTACTGTCTCCTAGCACATGGCCTTGGGACAAGGATTTGGGAGGAACCCCGGCACTCTCGCCATCAAATCCCTGTCCCACGTCCTTGTACTTTGGATCCCAGCTGTGTGCTCCATAGACTGTTGCCCTGCCCCTTCTTTCTCTGATTCTGGCTTCTACAGTTTTTATTATTTTCTGTGCTTCCTTTTTGTTTTTGCAGTACTGGGGTTTGAACCCAGGACCTTGTGCGAAGCTGCAACAGCCAATGTGTGCTCTTTCTGCTTTTCCCCCACCTGTCCTCTTGTTCCTTAGCTCTGCCTTCAGCGCTGTCTGATCTCTTCAGACCTCAGTCCATTATTTGTTTTTCAGTTCTAGAACTTCCACTGTATTCTTTCATAGCAAAGTTTCCCATTTTCCCATTTGTTTTCTCAAGTTGTCATTGTACTGTGAATGCAGCAGTCATGAATACTTTAAAGTGTGTGTCTGGTTGCCCCGGGGGCTTGCAGGTCTGGCTTGCTGTGTCATGCTGTGTGAGGGGCTTTCCTGGAGAACCCGAGCTCCAGTCTGGTTCTATAGCTCCTGGTGTTGTGGCGACCTGCAGGCTTCCCAGGTTCCTGCTTGACTTTGAGAAGCCTGCAGCTCATCCCTTAGACCCTGGCTGAGAGGCTTAGACCCTAGCAGACATCTGAGCTGCCCATTTCTTCACTTAGAGCCCCCTCTTATGCTTAGTTCTCCCCAGCAAGTTCTGCAGGTTCCTCGGCAACCGCCTACGCCTGGGAAGACTGAGGATCCTGGCCTCTGTGCCCGGAATGCAGACACTGGGAGAGTGCGCGGGAGCGCTGCCTCCACCGCACAGCCTGCTCGGCTCTTGCAGCTCCAGGGCTCTGGCTCCCACAGGCAAAATTTACCCTTCTGCCAGTGTCCCTGGTGGCCCCAGCCTGCCACTGCCCACCCCTGGGCCTGAGGTCCTTCCTTCTGTTTGCCAGCTTCCTGTTAGCCTCTCCGCTGTCCCAGAGCGATGAACAGAGCCCCTGTGTGTTCCTGCAATGCTCTTAAGGAGAGTTCTTGCCTTCTCTGCAGCAGGGAGCAGTCACTCGTCCTGCGCCAGCCCAACCCAGCCTCCCGGCACCCTTCACAGTATGTGTGCTTGTACACGTGTCTGGCTGTGGCTGTCCCTGTTCTGGAGAGCGGGTGTCATTTCTGGGCTTTGGCGGGCTTGGTACCCAGGAAGCCTACACTCCCTGGAGGGGCATCCAGTTCCGGTCCAGGGGCTCCCCGTGGTCCTGGGAGTGCTGAGCACTGGCCGGCAGGGTCTGGGGTCGAGACCCTGTGTCTGTACTGGCCCAGGTTGGGCCTGTGCTATACTCCTCATGGCTCCCTCAGTCCTGTGCCATGGTCACAGATGGGGCAGGACACTAGGAAGGGGGCCGTTCCAAGGGTGGCTGCAGTTCAAGGATTGTGAGGCAGGATGCGATGGAGCTCCATGTGTGAGGGGCTTCAGAGCCTGCCCTTGGCCTTTGCTTTGTTGGCTGCCCCTGGGTGGGGATGCAGCTCAGCACACAGTGGATGCCAGGTCAATCTGAGATAGCAATAGCAGATGCCCCAAGAGGTCTGCTGTAGGCTGGGCTGCATGAATGCTGCCTGCTAGAGGCCTGGCCGCTGCCACACCTCACACCCTGTGCCTGGGGCCTCATCCCTCAGACTCCAGGGCACTGGGGAAGCAGCTGTCGCACCCACGCTGCTGGCTGGAGAGACCCCCGTGGGGGCTGCTGCTGCACAGTTTAGGGGCGAGGTTTTAGCAGGCTACCCAGTCCTGGGACCCAGGAGGCAGATTCACCTTGGGGCAGTGGACCTCACCCTGCTATTTGGCATTTCTGTACATAGAGGCTGGGGGTGGCGTCACATACCTGAGGGACGCAGGTCTCTGACCGATGGCTCCCCGAGTTCCCTGGCTCACTGGTGCTGTGCCTGGTCATTGTTGTGGATGCCACCAATGACCACCCGAAGCCTGTGGCCCAGAGGACACTCCTCTCTGAGGGTCTGCTCGGGTGACAGGTTCATCTCGTGAAGGCCACCATAACAGCAGTCACCTGCTGTTTCTTGTGCTGGTCTCATTGAGCACTTCTCCACCTCCCTGGCCTCTGTGCTGTTGACAGTTGACGCCTCTTACTGGCTGGTCACCTTGCTGGGCAATGTCACCCGCATGCATCGGTGGGTTTCAAGGAGCAGAGAAGCCCATTGCGTGGTTTGGCCAGCAGTGGGCTTCCACAGGGCCTCTTCAGGTGCTGCTTCTAATTCCTGGTTCCTTTCTCCAAAGGTGTCTTCTGCCCTCATTGGGGCTCTGGCCACCACTGGGAGTGACCGACCCAGGCTGCAGAGATGGCCGGGGCTTCTGTGAAGGTGGCGGTGCGTGTCCGCCCCTTCAATTCCCGGGAGATGAGCCGGGACTCCAAGTGCATCATCCAGATGTCGGGCAGCACCACTAGTAAGTACTGGGGGACGTGTGCTGCTCCCTTTGCCCAGTGCCACGGGCAGGCATTGCGCCTGGCATGGGCCTGAGAGCCCGGAACCCTCCATGCCCACTGCCATGCGAGTCCTGGGGCTGCCCCTGACAGCCCTCTCAAAAGCGCCTGCTTCACAGAGGGCCCAGGGCCAGAAGTCAGCAATCAGGCCTGGTGCCACACTGCCCTCTGCTCCCTTTGTTATCACAGGCCTCTCTGCTTCTGGGTTTCCATGTGGCCTCCCTGTAAGGACCCTGGATGCTACCTGAATCCAGAGCAGCCTCATGCAAACCACTGATCACATCTTGTGTTTTGTTCTGTTTTTGTGGTACTAGAGATCAAACCGAGGGCCTGTGCATGGAACTATGTCCCCAGCCATGTTTTTTATTTTTTATTTTGAGACAGTCTTGCTAAGTTGCCATTTTAAACTTATGATCCTCCTGCCTCAGCTTCTGAGAGTGCCGGGGTACGGTTTTGAGGAGACTAGTTAACTCCACGCACACAGTTTCTGGGCTAGCTCCTCCCTTGCCCATCCTTTCTCTGTTTCCCCTTGTGAGCAGCCCAGACCCCACCCCCTCCTGAGCAGCAGAACTTGCCTGCCAGGGGAGGGAGAAAGGGAACCGGCTTCAGAGTCCCTAATGTCTTCCACTAGACAGGGTCCTCGTTGCCTTGCAGCAAGGTGCGCACGCGGGGCACCCAGCCGCCTCTGTGCCTGCTCCTCGCTCTCCCCTGCAGGCTTGGATCCCAGCGCTGTAGCAGCTCAAGCCTGCTTCAGGATCCTCCACAAACTTGTCCCGCATCTGGGCTATCTGTGCTGGCAAATGTCTGGCCTGAGGCTCGCAGACTGTGTCTTGGGTGAAGACCAGCAGGCACCTTGGTCTGTGGCTGGTGGACTCAGTGTGCACCTGGGTCTTGTGTTGCTGCCAACCTGTGCTGTGGTAGCAAGCAAAGGGACACAGGAAGTTGGCAGGGCCTTACCTACCCATGATGCCAGGCCTGCATGGACTCCAAGCCTGTGGGTCCCGGACTTGCACAGGCTGCCTGGGGCAGGACCTTCCGCTCTGCAGACAAGGCTGCCCAGATGTCACTTACACCTACTGGGGACCAGTGAGGCGGGGGGGCATGAGACACCTCAAGGCCCCACAGTCTTGTACCCTCACTCTGTGAGAAGCCTCAGATCCTGCAGCCTGAGCCAGCTGGGGTGCCTAGTGGGTACTCCTGCCGCAGACCCAGGGCTGGCCCAGGCATCAGTGGTGGCCATGTATGGCTTTCCTCTCTGTAGCCCACATCCTGGCTTATGGAAGGACAAACTTTGGAACTTCTAGAAGCCCATCCTCAGCTCTGGGTGCTGGCTGTTGATGGGTCCCCCAGCCACCCCAGAGAACCAGTCTGATGAGGGCCCACTTGCTCCCAGCTCTCTTGCTGGTACCCTTGGCTGGTACCCTCAATTTTGCTAGCTCTGCTGCAGGGTTCTCCCAGTTCTGGTCACTTCTTTTTTTTTTTTTTTTTTTGGCGGAATCGGGGATTGAACTCAGGCCTTTACGCTTGCCAGGGAAGCGCTTATTCCACTGAGCCATCTCCCCGGCCAGTTCTGGTCACTTCTAAGGCCTTGGCAACATAGGAAACCCTGGGTGCCCCGTCCCTGATTCTGCTGGGCAGGGAGACTTGGGACCTGGGCGCTGCCTAGCGGGGTCACAGCCAGGACTGGACTCACCCCATGCCCACCCTTACCTGAGGTGTCAAGGAGATGGGCAGGGATGGTGGGGAGATGGAGCTGTCACAAACCAAGTACCTGCAGGTGACAGCAGCTGCTGTCCCACAGCCTAGAGATTAGGGTGGAGATCTGGCTGCCTTCAGAGCAGAGGGAGGCTGGGGGGCTCCCAGGGTCTTGTGGCTGAAATCTGAGGCCCTGTCCCACCCTGTACATGCCAACATGTCTCCCTGAGCCCTTGAATGGTTGGGGTGCTCTGGTCTCTCCTGTTTCATGTTAACCTACACACATGTCCCTGTGAGGCCCCCACCTTCAGGGCCTCTTCCAACCCTGTCACCTGAGGTCCCACTTCCAGATCCCACGAGCCGCAGTCTGAGGACAGGGCTGTGTCCTCTGGCTCTGTTGCCAGGCAGTCGTCCTCTCCCCAGCCCTGGGTGCACCTGGACGCTCAAACGCAGGGGGCGCTGCTGAGCCAACTGCATTTCCCTCCAGCGCAGTGCCGTCTCTCCCACTGAGTGGCTGTCTCTCCCACTGAGTGGCTGTCTGGTGCAGGCCTCCTCTGTGTCTTGCCTTGGAAGGGCCAAGCTCTGGGCACGGCGGGAGCAGGGCAGGAAGGCGTGGGGGCCTTGGGGTGTGGCCTGGTAGTGGCCCAATTTCCCCTGCCTTACTCCTGGAACTCCTGCTGGGGACACTGTTGAGGGAAGCACCCCCAGAGGGCCCCACTATCTCTGGGAAGAGCATCTGCCTGCCCCCGGACTGCCACAGCCCCTTTCGGGTGGGAAGTGCAGGTGAAAAGCCAGACCTGGGAAACACTGAGCTCCAGTGTGACAATGAGGAGACCGTTTCCTCACTGGAGCTTGGGACCCTATCTGGAATGACTGAGGGTGCTTCCAGTCACCCACAGACCCCCAAGTTGGGATTGGGAGGGGAACTAACAGGTAGGTACCAGGGTAATCCCCCCATGTGCCCCTGGCAGCTTGAGCCGGTGACCCCTCCAAGCTTAGTATGGGGACTACCTGCGGGAGGGCCTGGCCTCAGTTTCAAGAAAGAATGGCCTGGGCAGATGCAGCTGGAACTCAGTTCAGGACTCTGTGCAGGCTGGCATGGCCTCGGGCACCTGTGGGAGCAGAGTCCACCACAAAGAGGGCAGAGACAGCTGCCCCTGGAAGCACAGCTCTGGTACCCTCTAGCTGGGGGTTGGGCCCTCCTGGAGCCAGAGGCCTAAGGACCTGGCTTCTTGCCTGGAGTGCAGTCTCTGGCTGGCTGGGTCCCTGACTTGTGCTAACGCTCTTGCTGTGTCCCCTCCCGCAGCCATCGTCAACCCCAAGCAGCCCAAGGAGACGCCCAAGAGCTTCAGCTTTGACTACTCCTACTGGTCACATACCTCAGTGAGTCTGTCCACTGGGAGGCCCCCCACGTCCTTGGCCTCCATGTGTCACAGTGTCCTCTGAACAGAGTGACAACCACCCTGGTTCCTGTAGGGAACCTGGAGCTGACACCCATGCTTCAGGGCTAGGGATACGTCCTCATGCCGCAAACCCCAAACTCAGGAGCCCACAGCTGAGCCCAGGGGATGGCCCTCCTGGCCCACATCAGTGTCCACTGACCCCTGCCCTGTCCATCACTCTGGGGGTCCTTCTAAAACCCTCAGCACTGCCTACCCAATGCCCATGTTACCCACACATCTCCAAGCACGTGGCCCCCACTTCTGACTTACATCTGATCTGACTTCAGGATGACCCTGCCTAAAGTGTCCCCTGCTCTCAGGTCAGCATCCAGACACCATCGTCTAGCTTGTGGGGCCTTGGGCCTCTAGGCCCAGCCTCCTCTCCAGTCCCTGCTCTTATGGGCCCGGCTACGGACACCCTGGCTGGCTCTGTGCTGGTCGGCCTCCTGGGCTCTTCCTATCCATCCCAGCTGCTCCCCATCCTTCACTGTGACCCACGAGCCCTACCCAGGCAGGACTGGGGGGCAGGCTCCTCTCCTCCGTGGGGGCCGAGCTCCCAGCCCAGACTGCAGTGTTGGGGCCAGGAGCCTGCTGCAGCCACACCTCTCCCACCCTCAGCCCGAGGACATCAACTATGCCTCGCAGAAGCAGGTATACCGTGACATTGGGGAGGAGATGCTGCAGCATGCCTTCGAGGGCTACAACGTGTGCATCTTCGCCTACGGGCAGACGGGGGCTGGCAAGTCCTACACTATGATGGGCAAGCAGGAGAAGGACCAGCAGGGCATCATCCCCCAGGCATGCACATGGCTCACGGGAGGGAGGGAGGGAGGGAGGGAGGAAGGGAGAGAGGGAGGGAGGGAGGGAGGGCGTGGCATGGGCCAAGTTTGGGGGTGGCCGCAAGGGCCTGGGCCCTGCATGGGGTGACTTGGTGCTTTAGGGGCTGTGAGGGCTAGCCTAGGACACCCCGGCACTGAGTCACAAGCCTGGGGTAATGTCACAAGCCTGAGGCCCTGCCCTCCCCACCCCTACCTGGCAGGTTTCTACCCTCGAGCTGCTCACTGCCCAGCACCCAGCTGCCCAAAGCAGGAAGAATGTGGGGTCCTCGTGAGACAGTGCCCCCGCCCCCAGCAGATAATGACAGGGTGACACCAGATGACCCATAGGAAAGGTCATATGCTGGCGGGAACCAGGGTTAGCAAATGTGTCCCTGGCTGCAGCCCCTCCTGGTTCCTCTGTGTGGCACCTGCACTGTGAAGTTCTGACAGGATCCTGGGTGCCCATGGTGCCACAGGGGAGGAGGTCACTGGGCCTTTTTCACTGATCATGTGCCCCTGTCATCACAGCTCTGTGAAGACCTCTTCTCTCGGATCAATGACACGACCAATGACAACATGTCCTACTCCGTGGAGGTAGGCCTGCTGACTGTCTATGCTCTAGCTGGGCCCTCCTGTGGCCCTGCAAGACTGGCAGGCCTGCTGTGCAGGGCCTGGAGCCTCCCAGGGCATGGGGAGAAGGGGTTGGCATGGGTGGAGCACCTGTCCTGTGCCTAGTTTACCTCCAAGCTGTGGGGTCTGGGTGACCATGGGCAGGCGCTGCTGGGTGTGACCAGAGGAGAGCCAGCAAGGGGACACATATAAACCCTGTGCTCACATGGAGCTCCCAGGCTCCCCTCAGTGCCCCAGCCCATTGCCAGCCATGTGCCACCCATGCATCCCTCATGGCCTCCACCCCACAGGTCAGCTACATGGAGATCTACTGTGAGCGCGTTCGTGACCTCCTGAACCCCAAAAACAAGGGCAACCTGCGTGTGAGGGAGCACCCCCTGCTGGGCCCCTATGTGGAGGATCTCTCCAAGCTGGCTGTCACTTCCTACAATGACATTCAGGATCTCATGGACTCAGGGAACAAGGCCAGGTGTGTAGGGGCAACTCATCAGCCGCCTCCAGTCTCCACTGGCCTGATCCTTAGGGTGTCTGCAGGTTTCCTGATGGGTTTGGTGGTCCCCTGAGAAGGTGTGAGCCTGAGGTGTGAATCAGGAGGGCATGTGTCACCCTGAGAGGCTTTGGGCCCCTGTGTGGGGGTCACTGTCACCACCATCAGAGCTGTTCTTTCAAAGGGCATTGCCTCTGTCTGTGGGATGAAGTAGGGTGAGCAGTGGCTGCCCCCTGTTGGGAAGGAGTGTGGCAGATCTGCCAGGCCCAGGGACCTGAGTATGAGGGCCAGCGGGCAGGAATGGGCTGGCAGGAAAGTGTGCACCTCCCTCGGCCACCACTACCTCGGGCTTCTCCCTAGGTTGTCATGGCAGCAATTAGCCTGTGCCACTCATGGACTCTAGGGAGGGTAAGGTGACCACACATGCCACCCTGAGCTTCTGAGTAGTGTTTGTGGAGGGTCCAAAGCCACTGTGGCAGCCCTGGCGCATTCTTCCTGGCATGGCCTCTGAAAGTCCCTGTGGGTCTCTGCAAGGCCCCAGGCCACACACACAGTGAGCTTGGTCTCAGGGAGGTTTTTGAACATTCCAGTAGCACCCCTTTGGGTTCTGTCCCTGATATGACCATGCTGTTGACCTGTCACCTGCAGACTGGGGACCTCAGTGGGGGACTGGCAGAGGCCATGCTGGCAGAGGAGGCATAGCCATCCCCAGGTCAGGCAGAGCAGCCCTAAGGGCTGGAACTCTGAGGCCTGATGACCTGGTGCACGAGTTAGCAACACTGGTGCTGACTGTGGGACAAGAGTGACCTTGGGTGAATTCCTCCCAGGACTGTGGCGGCCACAAACATGAATGAGACCAGCAGCCGCTCTCATGCCGTCTTCAACATCATCTTCACCCAGAAGCGTCATGATGCCGAGACCAACATCACCACAGAGAAAGTGAGCTGGGAGGGAGTGTGGCTGGGCCTGGACCGCAAACCAGACACCAGCTCCTGGGGTGTGGTGCCTCGGCCCCAGCCTGTGCCACCTTGTGGGGGTGACCAGTCCTGCGAGGCCACCTTATCTCAGTGCCAGGGGCCGCCTGGCATGGGGGGCCTTTGGACTCCTGCTAGTGGAGCTGAAGACTGGGCTGCATCCTGCGTGCCCTGTGTGTTGCAGGACTGGAATGCAGCTAGCGTAGGCGGGGCCGGTCATGGGAGCACCCGTTGGAGAGGTCCACAGGTCCCTGGTGCTGGCTGGCAGGACAGCAGTCCCTGCCCACGCTGGGGCCTCACACTGGGTGCAAGGCCTCTGGGGGCACCAGCATCTCCGGGCACAAAGACGCCCACATGCCTCAGCATGCGAGGTGGACAGGACAGGGCTTTTCTTATATGCCAGCGTGGGGTCCCAAAGGGGCAGCTCAGCGTGCTGAGTTTCTTGTCTGTGGCTGTGCCTTTCTCTCCCCCTCTTGTCCTACTCTGAGGGCCGGGGATAATGGGATCACACTGTCCTCTTGACTGCCTTCCAGGGTGGGAGCTCCCCTCTGGGAGTGGGCAAAGTCTGTGTCAAGCACCTCAGCCTGTTGTCATTCTCCTGACTGTGACCCAGTGGACAAGGAGGAGAGGCCTAGAAGGCTGAGGAGGGCTGCAGCCAGTGAGGAGTGTCCAGTTGGAGCCAGATCAGCCAGGGCCATCGGGGCCCCATTGTGTCCGTGGCCTGTTGGATGTGTTGAGGTCCAGAGGGGCTGAACCTCCCAGGTGCTCATGGCCACCTCTGTGGGTCTGGGGGCAGCTGGGCTGGCCAAGCCTGTGGAATGGCCATCTGTGGAAGATGCGACAGTGACAGGCCACAGGGCACGTTCAGGGTCCTGTTGTGTGCTACACAAGGAGCAGCTAGGTGCAAGGGCATGCAGTGCTTGGCTACTTGCTGGGAACTGTGGCACAGGAGATGGGGATGGGAGGTGGCCTGGACAGGGAAGCTTTTGGGGCCGACTCCAAGGGAGCGTATGCCGTTCCAGGTGAGCAAGATCAGCCTTGTGGACCTGGCTGGGAGTGAGCGGGCTGACTCCACAGGAGCCAAGGGCACGCGCCTCAAGGTAGGGTTGCTTCTCCAGGCCCCTCAGGAACAGCAGGCCACTTTGCAGGTGGGGTAGGGTGCAGGCCAGGGCGATGGGGCAGTGCCCAGGAGCAGGGGAGACAGCTAAGGTGAACATGGACCAAGGTCCTGCTGCATGCTGACCTGGTCCTCATATGGCCCAAAGAACAGAGGCTTCCAGCTGGCCAGCATCCCCCATGGGAGCAGGAAGGGCCAGTTTCAGTTTCCTATACCTGTCTTTGATCCCTGCTATGCTCTGTGGCTGGGAAGTTGTACCAGAAAGGACATGCAGTGTGTTGCTAAGATACCCACAGAGCTGAAGAGACGCTGGGCGAATGGCAGGGCAGCTGGGTCGGCCTCAGACTGACTTCCTATTTCGACATCCCCTGCCCCTGGTGGTCCCAGAGCCTAGCAGTCAGAGCTGGGGCCCAAGCCCAGGCCACAGGGGCTGGGCCCCGGGGCCACACTTGAGTCAAAGTTTCCTGACGTCTCTTGACACCGCTGTCTTCACCACACAGGAGGGCGCCAACATCAACAAGTCCTTGACCACGCTAGGAAAGGTCATCTCGGCCCTGGCAGAAATGGTGAGTAAGCACCGGCCTCTAGCTAGGCCGATGGGATAGGCTGAGGAGGTGGTTTCTTTCCTGCTGTCTACAAGGCCAGGAGTTGCACACCTGGGCTGGGGCACCATCTCTGGTGAGGTGCTGGAATACACAAGAAAGCTGGAGATGGGGAGGGTCATGGGGCTAAAGATGGGTAGCTGCATTTGTACTCCCCGGAGCCTCAGTTTCCCCACCTGTAAATGAGGATGTGCATCTTCCTCATGGGACCCTTTTGAGAATCAGCATGGGCTATGGTGAGCAGGGTGGTGGTCAGCTCTGCCCTCTGCTGGCCCAACCCAGGCCAAGCCAGGCTGCAGACAGGGAAGGGTAACACACTCCACCTGCTGCAGTCTGAATCTTTCGGGTGTTGGAGGACCGGTGTGTGACAGCACCTGAGAGCTCACATAGCCACCCGACCTCCTGGAGGGCCAGCTCAGGCTGGCCATCCACGGCTGGGCAGTGTGTGCTGGACCTCTGGTACAGGTCTGGGCCTCGGCCTGTGTCTCTGTCCTTTGGGGCCAGTCTGTTCCTCACCCCACACCCTGGGCACAGCCTCACTCCAGGGCCTCAGATGCTTTCTGTCTTTCTGTTTTCAGGACTCTGGACCCAACAAGGTGAGCTTCCTTTACCCCTGGGGAAGGGCCTGGGAGGGTCCCCTTGGCTAGGCTCCCACAGGAGCACTGGTGCTGCGCCCTCAGTTTCACACCTACCACCCTGGGGACTGCACGGGTGCCTGTTTTCTCAGTGCACCATGGGGGTAGGGTAGTCTGCAGACAGGAAAAGGGAAAGGAGAAATCCTTAGCTAAGGGTTAGAATGGATTCTGTGAAGGAAAGTGGTTATGAAAGTGACCCTAAGCGAGACAGTCTGAGTGGACAGGAAGGCCTTATGGAAGGGGTGGCCTGAAGTAGAGACCCGAGGACCTGGCTCCTCCGAGGAGTGGGCAGAGGCCAGCCAGGAGCCAGTGTGAGGTGCGAAAGGTTGGTGCCTGCGGGGAGCTGTGGAGGAACTGAGAAGAACTAGGGGAAGTGTGCTAACGGTGTGCAGAATGTGTGAGAGGGGTTTGTGGAGTGGGGAACTGTGAGGTACTGGCAGACTGGGGACACGCGTGTGAGGAAGCGTGAAGGGTGTGGGGAAGTGTGTGAAGAGGGCTGAGGTCTAGGGAAAGTGGAGAAGTGAGAGAATGGGTGACTGACACACTGAGGTGGACTGTGGAGAAGTGTGTGTGTGGAATTGTGAAGTGTGTGGGGAGCTGTGCAGGAGGTAGGGCTCATGTGAGAGGAGCTGTGGTGGCCGTGGAATGCCACAGCAGACTGAGGAAAGGTGGGGATGGGAGAAGCCTAGACCACAGGACCTCTGGGAGGAATGATGGGAAACGTTAGGGAGCTGTCTGAGGAACTATGCAAGACTTGGCCCCAACCTGTCCCTACAGAACAAGAAAAAGAAGAAGACAGATTTCATCCCCTACCGAGACTCCGTGCTGACCTGGCTCCTCCGGGAAAACCTGGGTGAGGGTTCAACCGACCCTCTCCCTGAGGCTCTCATGGGATTCTGGGTGGCTCTGGTCTGCCTGCCTGGGTGCCCAGGGGTTGGGGGCCCCTCACTTTCTGCACAGGAGCCCTTCTGCAAGACCTGGGGCAGAGGTGGGCAATGAGCTAACCAAAGCAAGTTGGGGGCCAGCGTGCCTCAGGCCATCTCCAGGCACCATGGGCTCATTGATGTTAAGCAATGCACCCGAAGTCATGTATCTCTTAACATTCCCCCCCACCCCCGAAAGTATTAAATTACATAAGTGGAGGCCCCTGCTGCCCTTCCTCAGCATAACAAAAGATGACCAACACAGCCTTCTGAATGGAACTCCAGGGGGTCAGCCTCATGGATGAGCGCAGACTTGCAGGGAGTAGAAGGCTGTCCTGGGTGAGATGGTGGCAGCCGGACCACGTGGCCACCCTTTTCTGGCTCTTGTGGCCCACTGTGGCAGGGACTGGGCCTCCATGGTCAGAAAGCCCGGTCTACCTGCTGGATTTTGAGGGGCTGTGAAAATCCCCTCCTCCTTGTCTGAGACCTGAGCACAGGAAATACACGGGAAAGCCGGGCTGGCACCAGGCCTCGCGCCCACTTTGTTATTTATTTATTTATTTATTTTTGACAACTCATATAGAATTTTACTTAACAAAGTAATATGAATTTCACAGTATTTGTTGTAATACATGGTATTGTCTTACAACCAGCTATTCATATTACCAGATATTGGAAGAAGAAAAAACTGGAGCAATGTATAAGAAATTAAGAAAAGAAAAAGTACAAACAATTGAAAAAAAGGAGACAAAGCTAATTAGAGCATTGACTGCTTCTTTCTATTTCCATTTTTTTTCTTTAAAAATTTTTATTTATTTATTTATTTTGTCCTGTCAGAGGTGAATATTCTATTGGCATCTAAATACTATAAGTGTTTGAATTCAACTAAACATCTAATACTGTCTAGCAGTCTATAATATTAGTGGGTTATCCTCAGAAGTTATTGACTTGAGCCTTTTACAGCTCATCGTATTAATATGGATTTACTTTATATACCTCATTTTTATACTTTTCTACTGGATGGTTAAGACCAAGATATACCCTGTATACCCAGAATTGTAACTTTTGTATCTGATAAGGTCAGCCAAGTACTCTCAGGATTTATTCTGTAGCCCTGTACCGCACTTTGTAGATCCTTTTGTCAGCGTCTGACATGAGGATGAGTCACGGCCATTGCTTGACCAATTTGCTCTCTGTGAAAGCTTGAGAAAATGTTTTTTCTCTCCATGTGACTCTCCCCAGGCTCACTTTAGATCCTCGAACACATTCCTCTGTGGCTCCATAATCTTCTTGATCAGAAAATTTGGAGCACAACTGAGTTGCATGTTGTTACAGTACAGGTTCTCCTATGTCCCGAGTCTTCACTGACCTTGAAAGGCTAGGGCCAAAATGTTGACTGACCTTGCAGCCCTTCCTTTTCTCCAAATTTTGATCTGCTAACTTAGTTTGTTAAACCTCCAGAAGAGAAGCTAATTATTAACCTGCAATATATGCAGTATGGTTTACCCTATCTGTAGAAATATCAGACATTTTGGCATATCCTGGAACAGGTGTTTTCCATCAGATATTGATATGTTGAACTTTAAGTTCTTACAGAATATGAAGGAAAAATAATTTTATAAAAGTAGAAATAAGCATTTACATATTTTTACAAAGAAATTTAGAAACCTAGTCATATACGGAATTGTAAGTCCTTATATTAGGGAGATAATACGATATTTACAGATGTGGGTCTGGTTTATTTCTCGCGCCCACTTTGATGCCCCTCACCGCTGTCCTCAAGGACCTCCCTGCAAGGTTGCTGATGCCCAGCTGAGTCCCAGGCTGGCCCCAGAGACTTCTGGCTCTCCTAGCTCTGCCCCACGACCAGCCAGGCCACGCCCACGCAGGCCTCACAGATGCAGGCTGCCAGCTTGGCGCCCACCAAGACAGAACAGTAGTGTTGCAGGAACACTGTCTCTTTCCCTGAGATGTGGCTGGGGCACAGGCCTCCCCCACAGGGCCAGGCCCACAGAACCTGTTGTGAGGCCTGCAGGACCCCATTAGGGCCTTCAGTCTGTAGGGACTCACAGGGCACCGCTCCCAGGGAGATCCTGGAGAGGGAGCATGCACAGCCATCAGTTGCAGCTTGGGGCACAGAGGTGGCACCTGATGGCTGGACAGGGTCCATGGGGACCTGGTGAGGCCTGTCTTAGCCTCCAGAGAGTAAGGAAGCCACTGGTGTTGGGGAAGCTGGTGTTAAGAACTGAGAAAGATGTTTCAGATGAGAGTGGTGAAAACGTGTGAGACAGAGCAGCCCTTATTCTACAGAAAATGCCGTGGAGCCCTCCATAGTCTGCTGCTTTGCTACAGGGAAGGGGTGGCTTCAGGTGTGACCAGAGAAATGAGGGTGAAGGGGCAGCAGGGAGGGGCAGCCCCGCTGTGTGTGGGCACCCTGTGGGCCTGAGCTGGTGCCCCTCTGGGCTCAGAATCCCCATCTGGAGTGCAGCTGGGGTGGAGGTGGGAAGAGCCAGACCTGAGCCTGGGACCCTCGCAGATCCTGGTGGTCTCCCTACAGGTGGCAACTCCAGGACAGCGATGGTGGCAGCCCTGAGTCCTGCAGACATCAACTATGACGAGACCCTCAGCACGCTGAGGTGCGTCCTTCAGGGACCCTGCTCCCCCCTGCAGGAAGGGACTTAGGAGCTCCAGTGGGCTGCCTTGGAGGCTTCCCTGAAACTGTGGGGCTGGAGGAGACTGTCTGGGCTCCTGGGCTTTGTGGACCACTCTCCCTGCCACTCTGGGTGTTCTCTGGGACTGCAGGTGGCCCAGCGCCCCATGGGGCCAGGGTGGAAGAGCTGTGCTGCTGGCCAGGGGAGCCAGGGCTTTGAGGGCAAAGGGGACTCCAGTGTGCCTTCAGGGACCCTGAGTGGGGTCACAGAGGTGTTCTCATTGTTGGGCTTGCTGGACTCTGGCTCCTTTGAGCTCGCACTCAGGTGCGTGGCCTGTGTCTGCTGACACCTGGGCCTCAGTGTCCTCAAGTACACTGTGGGACACGCTGGTGGGCCCCACCTGAGGTTCTCTAGGTCAGTGGCATCAGAGAACATCCACAGAGCCCATGGTGGGGGGATGTCTCATGGTGCCTGCCCAGGCTCACTCCCAGACAGGGCACTGGGCGCCCTCAGCCTGGGCACGGGCTTGCCCCCCAGCCCACACACCCTCTGGCTGCCCAGGTATGCTGACCGGGCCAAGCAGATCCGCTGTAATGCCATCATCAATGAGGACCCCAACAACAAGCTGATCCGAGAGCTGAAGGATGAGGTGACCCGACTTCGGGACCTGCTGTACGCCCAGGGTCTCGGTGACATCACAGACAGTGAGTGCACCACTGCTGCCTGTCAGTGTTCTGGGCCGAGGCTCAAGACTCGTGGGGTCTCAAATCCTCCCTCCTGCTACCCCGCTCACCAGCTAGGACCTGGCCTGGGGGAGGGGAGGGGAAGCCCTCAGGTTCCTGTACCTGCCCCGCCCAGTTCCTGGTGTGGCTCAGGGGCTCCTTGTGGGCGGGAGGTTGCATCTTCTGGCCTTGGCCCGGGTGGAGCTGGCTGGCCCTGGTTTTGAGCTGGCCCAAGCAGGCCAGTGTGGCTTCCTTGTGCTGGGGGATTGGCAGGCCCTGTCCCCATGCTGAAGACCTCCAGAACCTGCCTGTGCCACCCGCCTGTCCACATGGGCTGGGCGCGCCGACCCTCTGGACCCAAGCCTGCTCTTCTGTTTCTCTGTCTCTCTCCCCACGCCTACCCTCCCTGTAGCCAACACTGTGCCCGGAGGACCCAAATGTGTGTATTCCCCCACTGCTGCTCCGCACGGCTTCTGCCTGGCTGCAGGGGCACAGGGCAGCCAGGGTGGGCGGGTTCTTGGTTCCCTCCTTGGAGTGGCAGTATTGGTGACCTCACTCTGAATCCATTCCTGTCCATGTGGAAACTGAGACAAAGAATGAGGGGGTGCAGCTTGGCCTTTTTGGGTCCTGCAATGGTTGAGGTCAGACCTTTGACTCTGCATTGGGAGTCCTGGAAAGGCCAATACCCAATGGCCAAAGGCCACCCCACCCAGGCTGCTGGCTCTGGCCACCTCTGCTGGCTGCCTGTCCACCTGCGCCCATGCTGGGCCTGGTCCACACGCTCTGATGGTGCTGCCAAGTCCTGCCTGGCTCCACATTTCCTTGGTGTGGGGCTGCTCCTTGGACCCAGTCCCCTTGGTCTCCCTGGTGCCAGTGCTGCCCTGTGCTGGCTGCTGCTGTCTATCTGCTTCTATGGGGAGGGGCTAGGCACCCACCTGGTGCCACCACTCCCACGGGGTAGGGCCCTGGATGGTGGAGGACAGGGTGTACCCTTAGGGGTCTTCTGCTCCCCTCCTCCTCCATGCAGTCTGCCTAGCTTGGCTGGATGGTTAGTACAGCCCTGCCTGCCCCACAGCTCAGGACAGGCAGGTGGTGGGGCCTGAGGCACACTACACTCTTGGGCCCCAGGAGTGGGAGGGCAGAGTGGAGCCTGTGGGGTGCAGAGGGCTGGCCCATGGGCGATGCTGTGGGGAGCAAGGGACAACAAGGCCTTGCATGCGCTTGTCCTGCCCCGGCGCTGTCGCAGAGCTTGGTTTGCCTTTCTGGCCTCCTGGCCCGACACCTGTCTTCCCAACTGTCTCTCTTCTCTCCCTCCCACCTGTCTGTCCGCCTCATCTGCCTTAGACATGTCCCATCTTGAGAACAGTAACTGCAACTGTGGTGAGGCCACCCTGAGTCCAGCCCCTGACCTTCTCTCCACAGTGACCAACGCCCTGGTGGGCATGAGCCCCTCATCCTCGCTCTCCGCCTTGTCCAGCCGTGCAGCCTCTGTGTCCAGCCTTCACGAGCGCATCTTGTTTGCCCCAGGAAGTGAGGAGGCTATCGAAAGGCTGAAGGTGAGGATCAGGCAGACCAAGGATGTTTTCAGGCCACGGGGCCAGGCACTTAGAGAGGCAGGGTGACCTTAGAGAGGAGGAAGGGCCCCTTGGAATGTCAGGCCACACCTCACCTGAGTGATGCAGCTGGGCAAGTGGCTGGCATGTGGCCCCAGTTGAGGAAGGCCTGTCCTCAGCCCACCCATGCAGGGTGTCTGAGATGTGTAGTCAGGTCCTAGCAGGGGTGGCTGTGTTTGGGCCCATGGTCTCTGGGGTGCCTGCTTCTCCTCCCCTCCTAATTGTTTTTCCTTCCCAGCCCTCGGGTGTCTGCAGACAACACCCACATCCTTGGGCTTCACTGTGGTCTTCGTCTTGGCTCCTGGATAGGTCCAGCTGTCCACATTCTTTCCTGGTATCCGAGTCTCTGTCTCCCACCTCAGTCCCCAGCGGGACCTCACTCTAGTCCCTTTTACTCCAGGAAACAGAGAAGATCATTGCTGAGCTCAATGAAACTTGGGAAGAGAAGCTGCGGCGAACTGAAGCCATCCGGATGGAGAGGTGGGTACTGGGAGAAACCGAGGTGGCTCAGGCAGGACGAGCCCTGGGGGGGATACACGCCCCCCCCCCATTGACACACAGGCCACAGTTGGGCAAGGCTGAAGGCAGCCCTGCTGACCTGCCTCTATCCCCAGGGAAGCACTGCTGGCTGAGATGGGCGTGGCCATGCGGGAGGATGGTGGCACCCTGGGTGTTTTCTCTCCCAAAAAGGTAGGAGCTGGTCCCAGTGAGTCTATGGTGCTGACCTGGTGGCTGACAAAGGGGCTCCCAGGAGGGGTGTGTGGAGCAGGGCTCTGGCCAGGGTTGGAGTGGCCTCTCTCCCTTGCAGCTGGATTTTCCTGTGCAAGGAGACCCAGGCCCTGACCCTCACAGAGGACTGCCTCCTGGCTTTGGGACATCAGATGAGTGTTTTAGTCATCTGAGGCATGGATAGGTCCCCTGAGGCTGGGATGAGATTGGCAGGCCAGGCCCAGCCTGTGGACCTAAGCTGTGTGGGTCTGGTTCCCAGAGCTGCAACCCCTGACTGGCAAGGTGGGCTGGGCCTGGGTGGGGGTGGCTTCACTCTTGGCTTTCTGGCTGGAGCAGGCTGGCGGCAGCCTGGTGAGGCTGCTCCCTGGCCGGCGTGCAGAGGTGCAAGTTCAAGGGAGAGCTGCCCCTCTCTTATCTCCTGTCCACTCTGCCGAGAGGACACTATTGGGGAGTCAGGCCTGTGGACTGGGAAGAGGTCAGGCAGGTGGTGGCGCAGGCTCCTGGCTTCCCTAGGAGAGCTGACCCTCCTGCTCCCACCCTCAGACACCACATCTGGTCAACCTGAATGAGGACCCACTGATGTCCGAGTGTCTCCTCTACTACATCAAGGATGGGGTCACCAGGTGGGAAGGAGGTCTGTCCTTCAGGCCAGGCCCTGCCCTGGGGTGGGAGTAGGGGGACTATCTTCTTCTTGCAACCGCTGAGCCTGTCTGCCAGACTCTTCCAGAGCAAGGTTATGCCCGTGGGCACCACTGGCCGCTTGGGTCACACCCTGAGTGTTTTCTGAGAGATCCAGCCAGGCCCCGCTGCAATGTTGCTGACATTCTCCTCCCCCAGGGTGGGCAGGGAGGATGCAGAGAGGCGGCAGGACATTGTCCTGAGTGGACACTTCATCAAGGAGGAGCACTGCATCTTCCGGAGTGACATGCGAGGTGGCAGTGAAGGTAGCTCAGCTGTAGCCCTGCTGATGGCCTGCCCCCGTCCCCAGTCCCCAGCCTAGCTCTGCATGCCCTGGCCAGGACGGGAGAATGTGTGTGTGTATGATACTTGAGGGATGAAAGTGCTTGGGGAAGGGTCCAGGGTCTCCTTCACCTCTATGAAGCCTGTGGGGACAGGGGAACAGAAACGTGTCTGAGGGGGGGTGGGGCGCCATGGGCAAGACAGCAAGCCCTGAGGAGTGAGTGAATAGAGAGCTATTCCGGGACAACACTGCCTGGTGGCTGTGGAGCAGCCATCTGTCCACCCTGCCTGCCCATCTCCCTCCAGAGGGTGACACTGATACTGCCTTGTTCTGTGGACCTGTGGCTTTGCGATGCTGTCACCGTCCCATAGCCCTGCCCAGGCGTCTCCTGGCATGGGTCTGGCCAGCCTCTGGCCTGCAGATCCCATGGTCCACCTTGGCTGCCTCAGAATGGTGGCCCTCAGCAGCCTTGGACAGCTGTCTTCTCCAGAATACTCCTCTCCACAGACCCCCATTTCCAAGGCACTTTCGCCGCTGCTTCTCACTCACGCCCACCTGGGTTCTGGATGGGGCTCAGGGCACCAACCTTGCCCAACATGGGCCCCTTGCCCTGAGCTGCCTGGGTCACTTCCTTGCTGTGTTGAGTCAGGCAAGGCCCCCACCCCAGCTCCTCCAAGGCCTAGACAGGGTCCTGCCAGTGGTCAGGCTGTGAGGCCAACAGGAGTGGGAGAGCCTGGGTCCAGGTGAGCTGAGCTCTGCAGTGACAAGCCCTCATGTCCCCCTCCTCTCTTCCCATAGCCGTGGTGACACTGGAGCCCTGTGAGGGTGCAGATACATATGTCAATGGCAAGAAAGTGACTGAGCCCAGCATTCTACGGTCAGGTACGGGGGGGGGGCGTGCAGGAGCTTGGGGTAGATGGCATCAGGTGAAACTGCTGTCCTTAGGCCTGTGTCACCTCTGCTGCCTGGAAAGCCCCAGTGACTCAGGATGGCAGCTCCAGCAGGGCTGGGGCCAGGGGAGTGCAAGGGGTGGAGGCTGGGCCAGTCTTGAGGTGTAGCAGATCAGTCCATTGGCTTCATCCCCCAGCAGCCAGGGCCTGATGCACACCCAGGCATATGGTGTGAAATCCTAGCCTAGGAAAGTCAGAGATGTATAGGGGCTGTCCTGAGTGACCAGGCTTCCCTGTGCTGGGGCTATAGAGACCAGGAACAGTGGGCACAGGCAATGTGCAGCTATGGTCTGTAGGCCAGAGGCGCAGCTGCAGGGCTGGGGATGTCCGACTACACAAGCACAGGCAGAGAGCCCCAGGTTCATGAATAGTGACGCAGATGCGCAGATGCAGTCAGAGGCTGAGGAGCATCAACATAAAGACGCCCAGGTAAGACTATATCAGGGAACTGCTACCTGACTGTGAGGACTGCGGGCCATGGCAAGCAGCAGGTGGAGCTCAAATGTTATCCCTACTGTTGTCAGCTGCTGCAGGTGTTGACCACCTGGACAGCATGCACTGCAAAGCTAGACCAGGTGGGATCACAAGGTGATGTAGCCAGGCCATGTTAGCAGGGAGCACTTCTTGCAGCATCAGCTGTGGTCAGATATGAGGTCTTAGTCTACCCTGGGGTCAGGGAGGCAGGGAGATGACAACAGCTACCTGATTTCCACCACTGAAGGCCTTCATCTTCTGGCTGGGCTATCAGGACTATGCCTTTGCAGGAGGAAACACCCTGAATCTGTGGGTCACATTGTCAGCTATGTGGGCCCCAGAGCTTGGGCATGATCTGAGCTGAATGGCTTGGGTTGGATTTTCTTCCCTGTGCCTGAGCCAGAGGACAGGGACACAGGGAGGCCGGGGCCCTGACCAGCTATATGTTGACCCTAGGCTGGGGTGGGGGTGGGTTGGAGGCTGAGCAAGGGTTGGGGGGGACACAAGGCCACCCAGGGAACTGGGCAGGCAGGGCAAAAACAGGCACCACCCTGGGGGTCAGTCTGTCCCCAGGGTCTTGCACTGTGATGGACCCAAGGGGAAGGCAGGGGCTGGGTGGGAGGTTCCAGATGGTGGGCTCTAGCCAAGCAGCCCCTCAGAGTCAGTTGGAGGGTGGGTTCAGCCCTGAGCACACGCTGCCTGCACTGAGCACCTCCAGAGGAGGGAGAGCAGCAGGAGTGTGGCGTGCAGGAACAGTTCCTCGTGGGGACCCCGGTGGGCACAGCTGAACCCCAGGATGGTGGGCACTGGTGCTGAGTTGGGGTGGTGAGGGATTTGGTTCAGGAAAGCACAAGCTGGCCCCGAGGTGGGGGCGCAGGTAGCTGGGCTGGAGGAGGCCCACGTGTCTGCTTCCCTCCTGCCAACACTGGAGCCCTCCTCGGACCCTCAGGATCCCAACGCTGGCCTTGCCTCCTTCCCAGGAAACCGCATCATCATGGGTAAGAGCCACGTGTTCCGGTTCAATCACCCTGAGCAGGCCCGGCAGGAGCGTGAACGTACACCCTGCGCGGAGACGCCCGCCGAGCCCGTGGACTGGGCCTTTGCACAGCGTGAGCTGCTGGAGAAGCAGGGCATCGACATGAAACAGGAGATGGAGCAGAGGTGAGCCTGGGCCGCCCGCCTGCCTTACACCCAGCCTCCCTTCCTCCCACAACCTGTTCCCTGCTCACCCACTGCGGCCTGCAGGCTCCAGGAGCTGGAGGACCAATACCGCCGGGAACGCGAAGAGGCCACCTACCTGCTGGAACAGCAAAGACTGGTGAGGACACACCGGTCACCCTGGGCTCTGGCCCCTGGGACTCCCAGCCCAGCCTCGAGCTCTAGGTCTCCTGAGTCTCCATGGTGTAGGTGACTGGGCTTTGCCTGTCTGCAGGACTACGAGAGCAAGCTGGAGGCACTGCAGAAACAGATGGAATCCAGGTACTACCCGGAGGTGGCCGAGGAGGAGGAGGAAGAGCCAGAGGATGAAGGTGAAGGGCCTTGGCCTTGGGAGCCCTGCTATCCTAGGCTGCTGCCAGGGTGCACACACACATGCACACACACACATGCTTGCACACACCCACAGGCACGCTCACATGTACACACTCACACACACGGACACATACACACTTGCATGTACACACACTCACATGCACACAACATACACACATGCCTGTGCACACATGCTGGCCTGGTAGGGGGGCTGGGACCGTGAGGTCTTGGCAAAGGCACACCGTGTAAGACCCAGGACGAGGGTGCCGTGCTTAGCCGCCTCCCCCTGGGCAGTTCCAGGGCCTCTTGAGGATGTTGCCCCAGTGCTGTCCCCTCCTTCCTGCTGCCGTATGGCCTGCAGCCAGCCCGCACTGGCCTTTCCACAGTTCAGCAGCCCTTCTGCACAGTGGGCCTTGTTTTTCCTCCTCTGCACTGGGAGTGGTGGGTGTGCCCAAGGCCCCACACAAAGCCCAGGCCTAGTGAGGGATGGGTGTCCAGAGCCTCCGCGTGGGCAGAGGGCCCTGAGCCCACCTCCCTCCCAGCCAGCTGCCCTCCCACTGGCCTTGACCTCTGCACTTCATTTGTGCACCCTGCTTGCTGGGATGCAATGTGGCCTTGAAGGTGGGCATGGTATTGGGGTTGTGGCTCCCTCGGTGAGCCATGGCCTCCCCACAGTCCAGTGGACAGAACGGGAGTGTGAGCTGGCACTGTGGGCCTTCCGCAAGTGGAAGTGGTACCAGTTCACATCACTGCGGGACCTGCTATGGGGCAACGCCATCTTCCTCAAAGAGGCCAACGCCATCAGCGTGGAGCTGAAGAAGAAGGTGAGGCCCAGGAGCATACGGCTTCATGCCATGACAGGCCTCAGCTGTGCATGATGGGCACACCCCTGCCAAACCTGGGAGACCCTGGGCTCGTGTGGGGGACGCCTGGCCTTCTGCTTCGGGAGGTGGCCGGCACAGGCGGGGCAGAGCAGAGGCCCTGGTACGGCCCCGGCCCCACAGGGCTGATGAGGCTGCCACCTGCCTCAGGTCCAGTTCCAGTTTGTCCTCCTCACGGACACGCTCTACTCCCCGCTGCCCCCGGATCTGCTGCCACCGGAGGCTGCCAAAGACCGAGAGACGCGCCCCTTCCCCCGTACTATTGTGGCTGTGGAGGTCCAGGACCAGAAGAATGGGGCCACCCACTACTGGACACTGGAGAAGCTCAGGTATGGCTGCTGGGCAGTGAGGTGGACGACCAGGCATGGCTGGGGCCTTGGAGCCAGGGGCCTGCGTGGGTGCTGCAGTCACTGCAGAGCCCCGTGTGATGGGACCGAACTCTTACCAGTGTGTTGGGGCCAGGAACACACCGACATGTTTTCTTGTGGCAAAGGGGCCTGGGCTGGGAGTACACTGCTGGGAGGGCAACATTGTGGCACCGCAAGGGGCAGGGGTAAGGCCTGGGATCAGCTGGCATCGCCAGAGAGAGCTGCCACAGGGCCTGTGCCACAGCACGGGGCACAGACGGGGCACCCACCCACCCTAGCCTGCTCCCATGCCTCGGATGCTGGGGAGGCCACAAGAGAATGGGGCCCACAAGCGCCCAGAGGGAGCCCCACTGCTGCTGAGGTACAGGGGCCTTCCCACAGCTCACCCTGCTGTGCGAGGACCTTGGGGCGGACTCTAGGGAGGGAGCTGGTGCTCGTAGCACCCAAGACACCAAGGCACAGGAGCAGAGGGCCTGGCTCTTCTCAGGGCCAGGGCTGACTGGGGGGAGGGCGTGTTGGCTGGCTGGGGGGTTCTGGCACCCTGCTGGTGTGTATGGCCATGCCTGATGGCCTGGCAGGCTCTAGGAACCAGGTGGTTTTGGGCAGGGCTGTCCCCAATCAGCGACTGGCCTCGAAGATGTCAACATCAGAGACCGGAAAGGCAAAAATACTGTTCGCACGCACATACTCTCACGACACTTTCTTGGCCAGTTCAAACATGCTTTGGCAGACACGCATGTCATGCGCATACACTCCGTCCCAGTTTGGCTCCCGAAAGACAAGGTCACCTGTGTCGAGTTTGTGAGGCCCTGTTAAAGCTGGCCCTCGAGGGTGCAGGGATTGGATCCTCAGCTGCTTGGCCTTCCCTGGAGATGCGAACTTCACATGCACTCTGTTGTCGTGTCATTCATAGCCCAGAGTGAAGTGCTCAGGGCTCCGTGAGGTGAGCCCCGGTTCCTGGCTGCCGTGGCTCCCTCCCACTCCTCCCTTTGCTTTCCAGCTGCGGTGGCCTGGACGGGTCTGGAGGGCTGTGCAGAGCGTGTGACCACCCAAGAGGGCCTCTCTAGTTGCCTGGTCTGAGGGCCTCAGAGGGTTTTCCGTCCCACAGAGGCCTGAGCCTAAGTGCCTGGACAGAGTAGGCACCGTGGACAACAGGGCCATGCCCAGCATCCAGGGGAAGAGGCGCACAAGCTGGGCGCTCCTGAGCCTGCTACCCTTGTGCCTGCAGGCAGCGCCTAGACCTGATGCGGGAGATGTATGACAGGGCTGCAGAAGTGCCCTCCAGTGTGGTCGAGGACTGTGACAACGTGGTGACCGGCGGGGACCCTTTCTACGACCGCTTCCCCTGGTTCCGACTGGTGGGCAGGTGGGCGCCTCCCCTTCCCTGGCAGAGAGAGAGGCAGTGGATGGGGAACGACCCCAGGTGCATCTGTCTTCCCCTCATGCCTCACCGTGTGCCCACAGGCCCCTTCTCTTCAGGGGCCTCAAAGGGCCTTGTCACTGCCACCCATACCCCTGTGGGCCACGTGTCTGTGTGTGTGTGTGGGGGCTCCCAGGGCAGCTGTTCCAGGTGGGAATGTGTTGACGACTGTGTCACCGAGCCTGAGAGGCTGCAGAGAACCCTGTGCCTTGGGCTCTTGTCTGGGGCCTGTGCCAGCCCCAAACCCACATGTGGTGCTCTGAGACCTCAGTGTGGCCAGCCTTTAGGGGCCTCCCACAGCCTTGGCTGTACCTGGCCAGGACCACTCGGTCACGCCTGTTGACGATTTCTAGAACCTCTAGAATCTTTCAGCTGACCACATGGGTGTCTATTTTTTGCCAAACCTGGGGACAGGGCACATTTTTGCTTCTCTGGTCTTTTAAAGCAGCATTCTTGATGGTGTGTGTCTGGTGTTGGCTGGAAACAGAAGCCCCATCCCGCCCCTCCCCGCCCTCCCGGTCCTCCTGCGAGTAGCTGGTGTTAACTTCTCTCTGTCTTGTCGTACTAACCTCAGTTCAGTCACCTCTGGCTGCAACAGCTACCCTCTTCTCAACACATGCATGAGCGAGCGCATGGCTGCTCTCACCCCCTCCCCCACCTTCTCGAGCCCCGACTCCGACGCCACCGAGCCTGCCGAGGAGCAGAGCGTGGGGGAGGAGGAGGAGGAGGAGGAGGAGGAGGAGGAGGACCTGGAGGACGACGTCTTTCTGGAGCGCGCGCTGTGCGACGGCCGGGACCCGTTTTACGACCGGTCCCCCCTGTTCAGTGTAGTAGGAAGGTTGGTGAGGTTGAGGAGCGCGTGCTGGGAAGGAACCAGCTCTTTTGCACGGGAGCACTGCTGTGGGCACCGTGGTGATCAGGGCAAGACCCCGGGCCCTCCCGGCGGGGCAGGCTGAGGGCCAGCCTCTTGCCGAAGCTGGGGAGCCTCAGGTTCCCCGAGTCCCATCACAGGGCAGAACTGGTCCAAGTACAGAGGGCGACACCCAGGTGGACCACACAGCTGGGAGCTGTTTCTGGGCAGGTGGCCGTTGCTGTGAAGTGGAGGCCACGGAAACACGAGCAGTGGCTGTGGTTTCAGCCTGACACTGCCTCCCTAGGCAGCCCGGGGCCATCTGAGAGGTGAGGCCCTATCCATCTCTTGTTCTGAGGGCCAACTTTGCCTTCACTGTCCACAGCTGGGGTGCACTCAGCACCCCTCTACTCTGGGGACAGGACAGGCTTGGGTCCCTCTACTGCCTCTCTCTGGAGGTGAGGCCAAGCCACCTCGACCTGTCTGGGCACCATGACGAGAGATATGGCAGCGGCCCAAGGGCCTGCAGAATGCTTTCCACAGAGCAGGGCTGGTTATCACATCCACCAGGCAGGTGAGAGAGGCCAGGGTCATGAGGTGAAACAGGCCACAGGAGATCTAGACTTGGGGTGCTGTCCTGCAGACAGATTCGGCAAATAGAGCCACTGTTCCTGACTTTATTACCCTACAGGAAGGGCAGGACAGGGAAAGCTCTGGCCACGAAGGATGGCAGTATCTGAAGAGGCGTGAGTTTTAACTCTTGCTGTTCTCTGTGGAATTCAAGATGGCTTCTTGGAGCAGGAAGTAGAAGCTTCCAGAGTCTTGACCTGGGGCACCCGCACTGAAGCCTTACACAGCACAGGGTTGTGTGGCCCCTCATCCTGAAGAGAAGGCGTGGGAGGCCAGGTGCACATCGGGACCTGCTCTGGTTAGCTCCCCCAGCTGGTACCAGGCTGGGTTAGGTGTCACGAGCCAGCCTGCTGGTGTTCCTCTGAGATGCCCCTATCTGGACTTGGATTCTGCAGGACTCAGGCAAGAGGTGCAGAGCCAGGCATAGTCCAAAGCTTCATTACCACGCCCCAGCTGTAGGACCAGGTCTCCCACCTGTGTGGCCGGGAGAGGTTCCGGGTGTCAGGTGGGCGAGGGGTCAGGACATGTGGGGGCGAGAACAGCACAGGGAATGGGGTGTGGGCTCTGCAGTCTCAGCCGGAAAGAGCTGGGTCCTTCCGATGTTTTTCTCCCTCTTGTGGATTTGAGATTTCACAAAACTCCCAAACCGACCAGAAGTTCCCCATAAGAGGCCGGTCCCAGCTCAGGGTGGCCTGTGGTGGGCTCCAGCTAGCATCACCCTGGTCTTTTTGGTTTGGCAAGAATTGGCTTCTCCGCGCAGCAGCTGTGCAGGCCCGGCCGGGAAGGACCTCCACTGATTTTCCCATATCCTTCTGGTAGCTCCTGGCTCTCTCCAAAGCTTCAGCGAAATTGGGGTGTCCACTCTTGCCCCCTGGAAAGGCTCCCTGGGTCCCAGCATGCGTCTTTGCTCCTCACCAATCTGTGGTTAGCGCTGCCTCCTCCCTCCTGCCCGCCGCTGTCTGCTCTGCCCTCATGTGCTCCCCAGCATTTCAGTCTGCTTCAAGGCCCCTCAGCTGCGGGGTTCCAGGTGATGGGGAAGGCTGGAGGCTGGGCATCTGCTGCCCAGGCTGAGGAGGGGCCGGGGTCTCTGTTTTGCACCGCCTGTGTTACATGGGGCCCAGGTGCTGCAGAGAGTGTAAGAGCTGGGTACCTGGGGCGAGGAGTCAGCCTTGAGCACCATCTAGGGCAGGGAGGACAAAGGTGGCCCTGGAAGTAGGCTGTGCCTCATCAGCTGTGCCGCTTGGGCTCCTCAGCTCTGTCAGGCCTCTGGGCCTGGATCACTCAGCCTCATGGACATCATGGCCACAGGTGGTATCTGCGGTCCACAGAGCAGCTGGGTGTCTTGAGGCCAGGCTGTGTAGTGGCCACTACGGTGGCTTGTACCATGGCAGGTTGTCTGTGGCACATGGAGGGGTGTCCCCACGGGGCCTGCAGCCTGCACCATCTGGCCTGTGGCCTCATCCTGCAGTGTGTTAGCCAAGTGGGCCCTGCGTGGGAGGTGGAAGCGGTCTTCTCAGCTTGGTCTGCAGCACCCTCGGAGACCAGTGCTGCCCTGGAGTAGGGGCTGGGCTGCTGAGGTCCCTGCTGGCTGAAAGAGACCACTGCTGCCACCCAGTGGACCAGGCCCAGGGCTGCAGTGGGCAGCGCAGCCAGTGAGCTCCTTCACCTTCTCCAACAGTGGGCACCAGGTCGAGCCAGCCTCCCATCGGGTGCCCAGGGCCCATGAATGCCAGTCTCCCATCCGGGTGCCCAGGGCCCATGAATGCCATGAGAATATGCTGCTCTGCCTGGAACAGGTGATGAGGTTCAGAAAATTGGGGAGGCTTTGCTGAAGCCACTAGGGACTTCTTCGCTGTAGAACCCCAGTCCCCAGCCAGAAAGTCACAGAGCCCCCACCCTGTGCACTGACCTCTGGCGCAGCCCATGTCTGATGTGGCAGTGTGTGGTGGCTGCTGGCCTCTGGCGCAGCCCGTGTCTGATGTGGCAGTGTGTGGTGGCTGCTGGC